ACACATACAGACATATATATATATATATATATATATATATATATATTATATATATATATATATATATATATATATATATATATATATATATATATATATATATATATATATATATATATATATATATATATATATATATATATATATATATATATATATATACATAGATACATACATGCATGTGTGCGTGTGTGCATTTTGCTTTACGAGAGTATGTGACATCAAAAGTCTGGGCCATTATGTAAATATCATATGATACATTGGTTTAATAAAGGAGTGCAGCTTGCTGTAGTTCCTTCCATTTATCTCTCATTATCTGTCTCCCCCTTTCTCCTCTTCTTTTTCTTTCTCGCTCTCTTTCCCCTATCTTTTAGATTCTCTCTCTGTCTCTCCGTTTCTCCTATATTTTGTATTCTGTGTGTCTCTCTCTTTCTCTTTCTCTCTCTCTCTCTCTCCGTCTCTCCCTTCCCTCCCTTTTTCTCTTTCTTTCTTCTTTCTCTCTCTCTCTTTCTCTCCTTCCCTTCTCTCTCTCTCTCTCTCTCTCCTCTCTCTCTCTCTCTCTCTCTCTCTCTCTCTTGCTTGTTCTTTCTCTTTCTCTCTGTCTCTCTTGCTTGTTCTTTCTCTTTCTCTCTCTCTCTTTCTCTCCCTCCCTCTCTCTATCTTTTTTTTGCTCTCTGTCTTTCTTGCTCTCTGTTTCACCCTCTCTCTTTTTATCCTTCATCTTCTGTTTGTTCTTTCTATTTCCCTCTTCCCTGTCCCCCCCCCCCTCTCTCTCTCTCTCATTCTTTCTTCCCCTCTTCCTCTTTTACTCAATCTGCTAAGTTTCGTATTTCTTTGTATCTCGTTTTTTCTTTTATCTGATCCTCTTTGTCTTTTATCTACCATCTCTCTCTCTTCCTTCTCTCCCATTTTCCTTCTCCGTTCCATTATCTTGCCCTTTGCCATTTCTTCACTTCCCCTTCTCTTTTTCTCCCACTCTCCCTAATCCTCCCCATCTCTACCATCTCCTCTTTTTCCGGTCCTTCCTTGGTTACCTCCCCGTTACCTTGGGTTTTGATATTTCTTTACTTCCCTTCACCTCCCTGTCTCAATTTCCCTTCTTCCCCTATGCTTCCCCTACGGCTTTTGTCCATTCTTTACTTCCCCTTTTCATTCTTCACCTCTTCCTCCCTTACCTCCCTACCTTGGTTTTTGACATTTCTTTACCTCCCCTTCTCTTCTCTCTCCGTTTCTCTCTCCTTCTCCTAAGCTTTACCATCTCTTCACACCTCCTTCTCCGCCCCTCTCTCTCTTCCTTACCTCACCTCATATTTCTTCCCCTTCCCTTCACCTCTTTGTCCCTCTCTCCCTCCTTCCCCTAAGTCTCCCCAACGGCTCTCCTATTTTCATATCTTCCGCTCCTCCCTCCTTCCTCCCTCCCTCCTTTACCTGATATTTCCCCTTCCCTTTCACCCCCTTTGTTCCTCTCTCCCTCCTTCCCTTAAGCCTCCCCAACGGCCTCTACCATCTCTTTACACCTCCTTCTTCTCCGCCCTTTCCCTCCCTCCCTTACCTCATATTTCTTCCCTTCCCTTTACCCTCTTTGTTCCCCTCTCAATCCTTCCTCATCCTCCCCAACCCCAACCATCCTTTACATCTCCTTCTTCTTCTCATAACCCTCTTTGTTCCCCTCTCCCTCCTTCCCTTAATCCTCCCAACGGCCTCAACCATCTTTTACATCTCCTTCTTCCCCCCTCCCTCTCCTTTACCTCATATTTCTTCCCCTTCGCTTCACCTTCTTCCTTTTTCCTCCCTTCCAATCCTCCCCAACTTACCATCTCTTTACATCTCCTTCTCTTCTCCCCCTTCCCTCCCTCCTTTACCTCATATTTCTTCCCTTCGCTTTCACCTTCTTTGTTTCCTTTTTCCCTCCTTCCCCTTAATCCTTCTAATCGGCCTCTACCATCTCTTTACATCTCCTTCTTCTTCTCCCCCTTTCCCTCCCTCCTTACCTCACATACTTTTCCCTTTCCCATCACTCCCTTTATTCCTATCTCCCTCCTTCCCTTAATCCCTCCCAACGGCCTCTACCATCTCTTTTCTCCCCCTTCTTCTTTCCCGCCTCTCCCTCCCTCCTTTACCTCATATTTCTTCCCTTTCCCTCCACCACCTTTCTCCCTCCTTCCCTTAATCCTTCTAATCGGCCTCTACCATCTCTTTACACTCCTTCTTCTTTCTCCGCCCCTCCCTCCCTCCCTTACCTCACATATTTCTTCCCCTTCCCTTCACCCCCTTTGTTCCTCTCTCCCTCCTTCCCTTAATCTCTTTACACACCTCCTTCTTCTCCTCCGCCCCTCCCTCCCTCCTTCCCTCCTTCCCTTCCGCACCGGCCTCCGGGGTAACTCCTCTTGAACTTGTCCTCCCACACACATAACAGATGGTGACCAGCTGGTTGACGCTGGAAAGGCAGTGTGGAGGCTTCGCAGGGTACTAAACAGCCGCGTGTGACAGGCTGAATCAC